AAATTTTTGATAATTAGTTTTTTTTTCATGTCAGTACTGCAAAGAAATTTCTATCTCATTGAACTTCAAACTGCTTCAAACGCACAAATGATTGACATATATTTTATGTAAATTAATACATTTCAATACTTCTTACAACAAAACTACCTCTTTAAAGCTATACAACTTTTGTGTTACAAAATTTAATTTTAACAAATTTCGTTTATTATTAAATTCACGCCTCGTTTTCCAAAATGAATTGAATTTCTCACTAACACTTTTTCGGCGGGGACTTTAACAAGCTACGCGGCGGTGTATGTGTGTGTGTGTTTGCACCGCCTAATGACAATGGCATTTGGTGACATAAATAAAATATGAAGTCAAAATATGTTTCATTCAATAAGCGAAACAGCGGCAGCACCCCTTTAACAAACGTAGTAGTCATCACTTGGTAGTCCTTAGCGGATTTATGTTGTTGCCGCTGTTGCTGCTGCTTTTGTTGTAGACACATTGAGCGCCCATTAAATGCCATGTGTTACACCTCAGCGACGACCTCTGACAAATTTTTTGAAATTGAACTGAATTTAACTTTTGTAAGTACATTCGTTAAGATATACCAAACAGAAGGAGAACACCAACACATTTATATGTATACAACAATAGAAGGATGTATGTATTGTATCCTGACAGAGTAATAAGAGCAGTGCTAACAAATAATTGAAGTAGGAACACAACCCCGTTTACGAATAACCTTGTTGCCACTTTGCAGCACAGCAGAAATATAAATTTATGTAAATTTGTGTTTCGTTAGGTTAGGGGATGGGAAAGGGTGAGGAATTTGGTGTGTGACAGTGTTTTCGAAAACTCTATTAACTAACAAAAATTTTTTGAGGGTGGGAAAGAATTTCTCGACTTGAAATAAATTAAAAATTTGTAAAAATAATAATTTGTATTCATAAATTAATTTGCTTCGAACCACTGTGCACATTACTTTAACACATTTTCAACTTCTCAAATTGTACACCATTAACAACAAAGTATAATTTGGTGTTAACTATAGCTTTAAAGACATCATCGTCCACGTCAGCATCATCATTATTATCCTTGTCATTAACATCACGACTACCAGCTATCTTCAGCTATTGTATGCTGTGCCAACATCTGTTTACCGCTGCTGCTGCAGTTCCATAATCAACCCTTATGGCAATTCCAGTTTCAATTATTTGTTAAGGAAAGCCTAAACGTTTATGCCCATAAATTCAATCCAATTTAACAGTCAATCTTCCAGGCTTTGTCTTCTCCGCATCTAAAGGAGTGAACCTGTGAACTATATCAGCGTTTATTTGCACTGCTCTCTGTTTCACCCTTGACGGTGTGCCAGTTCCTGTTTGTGTTGTTTTTGTTTTCTTTATTTGTTCGTCGGGTCGTATGATGGTTGTTGTTATTTAGCAATTGTATTTGAAAGGATTAAATACTTTAAAGGATTTGAAATAATTCACAGTTTTAAAAAAGGAATTAATTTAAGGGGATATCAGTGTGAGAGTTCTTTGCAGATTTCTACAACTCCTACAGAAATACATTGTTGGCTAGAGTTTTTCGAATAAAAATGACCCTTATAGGCGTGCATTTTTAAAGAATAATTTTTTCAATGACCCGTATAGAATAATTTTCAAGCTTAAGAATAGTTTCTCAAGGACCTTTATAAGCGTAGATTTTTATAGAATAATTTTCCAAGGACCTTCAAAAGCGTGGATTTTTAAAGAATCATTTTTCAAGGACCTTTTAAAGCATGGATTTTTAAAGAATAAATTTTCAAGGACTATTAAGACGTGGATTTTTTAAATAATTATTTTTCAAGGACCTTTATAAGCGTGGATTTTTTAAGAATTATTTTTCAATGATCTTTACAAGCGTTAATTTTTAAAGAAAAAAATTTCAAGAACCTTTATAAGCGTGGAGTTTTTTAAGAATATTTTTTCAACGACATTTATAAACGTGGATTTTTTAAGAATAGTTTTTCAGGGTCCTTTATAAGCGTGGATTTTTTAAGAATATTTTTTCAAGGGCCTTTATAAGCGTGGATTTTTTAAGAATAGTTTTCAGGGTCCTTTATAAGCGTGGATTTTTAAAGAATTATTTTTCAAGGAGCTTTATAAGCGTGGATATTTTAAGAATAGTTTTTCAAGGACCTTTATAAGCGTGGATATTTTAAGAATAGTTTTTCAGGGTCCTTTATAAGCGTGGATTTTTAAAGAATTATTTTTCCAAGGACCTTTTTATAAGCGTGGATTTTTTAAGAATAGTTTTTCAAGGACCTTTATAAGCGTGGATTTTTAAAGAATAATGTTTTCAAGGACCTTTTAAAGTGTGGATTTTTAAAGAATAGTTTTTCAAGGACCTTTTAAAGGTTTAAGGATTTTTAAAGAATACCTTTTCAAGGACCTTTATAAACTTGGGTATTAAAAATAATAAATTTTCAAGGACCTTTATAGGCGTGGATGTTTAAAGAATAATTTTTCAAGTTCCATTATAAGCTGTATTGCTTTGGTTCATATGCATAGATCCATGTTTTTATACCCTTCACCACATTGTGGTACAGGGTATTATGGCTTTGTGCATATGTTTTTAACAGGCAAAAATAATCGAGATAGACACATGGTTCCTTTTGAGAATATGCATAGAATCACTTTCTGAGTCGATTTACGCATGTCCGTCCGTCCATGTATTTTTGTGAACAAAGTACAGGTCGCATTTATGATTCGAATTGGATGAAATCTGGCACAGCACATTTGTTTGGCCCAAGGACGAACCCTATTGAAATTGGGAAAAATCGGTTTAGATTTAGATATAGCTCCCATATATATTTTCATCCGATTTAAGGTAAATGGTGCACCAAAGTTCCTATAGATCTTTCGATTTGCACGAAATTTGGCATAGCGTACTGAAATAAGTCTATAGTGATGTGTGAAAATCGGTTCAGATTTAGATATAGCTCCCATATATATTTTCGTCCAATTTGAGGTAAATAGTGCATCAAAGTCCCCACAGATTCTTGGATTTGTCATAGCGTACTAATGTTTGCCCGATTAACACGAAATTTTGAACAATGTATCAAATTGAGACTTGAATGACGTTATTGCGTTTTGTTGAAATTGGTGCCATAGCTTCCATATGTATTTCGAACCGGGTGTCTGATTGAAATTAAATTTTTAACAGGGAACATTGACATGCAAATGTAAGGATACATATGCGCAATATACATAAAGTGGTGAAGGGAATCATATAGTCGGCCGAGTCAGACTTTACTACTTTCCTTACTGGTTGAATTTAAAATTCACGCACTGCATCAATGTATTGTGGCACAATGCAGTTTTTTTACGATCCTTCCACTTGGAGCGAGCGTAGAATTCACAACACATGCCCTAATTCAAATCGACATTAAATACGGTATTTGGCATAGAGACAGGACACTGATTAATATAAAGGTCTGTCCCAATGATCGGTCTTCTGAGGCTTTTGGTTGTATTTTCAAACCGAAAAAGCTGTAATCTGACATTCCAGGTTATTGGCAAAGTAAAATTATCAATAAAGGTCAATTTTTTAATGGTCCTGGAATTTTCTATAGAAAATTTTGCGTCCTCAGTTACCAACTGAGGGCCACAGGAATTTTCTATAGAAAATTTTGTGACCTACGTTCCCAACTGTGGGCCACAAGAATTTTCTATGGAACATTTTGCAACCTCACTTCCCAACTGAGGGCCACAGGAATTTTCTATAGAAAATTTTGCGACCTCAGTTTCCAACTGAGGGCCACATGAATTTTCTATAGAAAATTTTGCGACCACAGTTACAGTTTCCAACTGAGGGCCACAGGAATTTTCTATAGAAAATTTTGCGACCTCAGTTCCCAACTGAGGGCCACATGAATTTTCTATAGAAAATTTTGCGAACTGAGTTGCCAACTGGAAATTTTTCAACCTTAGTCCACCAATAAATATAAAAAGAACGTTAAATGTTTTCTAAATTATTCATAAAGAACTGATTCCGATAATAAGGTAATCGTCCTTCGCAAATTTTTCAAACCATGATATAACCTTAATTTACAGAACACTTACAAAAAAATCGTTCACTATTAAATATGACACACAACATGTAAAATAACTTATAACATTCCCCTCGCCCCTTCAATGTAACACCAATCATCTTTAAATGCCACCAATCAAAATTTGGTTGTAATAATGCCAAAAGCCGCAATAAAAGAAATTTTGATTTTCCATATATAAGCCCAAAACGAATAACAAGAAAAACCACTACTACTCAACGACATTATCAGATGAAGGAGGAGGGAGGCAGTTGGTGCGGATCGTATACAACATGGAAATTTTGTAAATCCTGTCATGATACACGTCAACAGATTTGATTGAAATTGATTGGCATAAAAGAAGCTCAATCATGACAATCATAAAATGCTATAATACCACACATACAAACAGATATACGCGTTGAGATAGCGACCAAAAAAAGCAGTGATGACGAATGTGAATCCGATTTTTGTTGGATGTTTTTCTGGTAAGGACGATTGATTTACTCAAACAACTGCAAAACAGCAGAAAAAACAAAACTAGCCATCCTGCCAGCCAGTCAGCCACATACATATGAAATCCTATGGCGTTGAATGGTCGGAAACAAATATTACAACGAACAAAAGCCTCTCAGCGTAATGATGATAACGACGAGATGTCGACGAGGATGGGTTGATGTCCCAGGCCAAATATGCATATTCGTGTAATACAACCCTCCTCCTCCTTCTCCTCCGTGATGGTGTGGTAATATATCTGCCCTTTTTGCCAATACAAAAATTATGGCAAATTGTTGTTGTTCTTGTTATTGTTGCTGTTTTCTCTTTTTTTGTAATCTCCACTGCAGTTGTAATACCCTGCCCCACAGAACACAACAACTGTTGCTACGGCAAATAATAACACGATTTTTATTTTCCATTTCGAAGCGATTTTTCTACTTACCGGGTAATTTAAACGGTAAACCACCCATAAGAGGATCTGGGCCGAATCGTTGAGGCCCAAAGGCAAATGGATGAAAGCCGGGATGTCGTATTTTGGAACGCGGCTCCCTCGGACCATCCACTGTGACTTTAATGGCTTTATTGTATGTGGCAATTTGTATCGGATTCGTGGAGATCACAATGCTCAGGGTGAAACTTTTACCTGGAAAACAGAGAACAGAAATTAAAAACATTAATAATAGCGCGGCGGAGCACAGTGTTCTAATTAACAGGCCAACAAAAACAACAGCAGCGGCAAAAAACACCAATAAATACAATTTTATATTTATGAATGTATGTCGGCTAATTGGAATTATATTGCCGAGCTGAGCTAATAATAATTTTTGTACATTATTTCAGATATAATATATAAGGCAAGGGATGGATAGGGTGGGAAAATAAAATGGTGAAATAATTAACTTAAGTAATCACCTGAGGCTACACAATTTTTCTAATGAAAAATTGAAGACTTCGGTTCCGAGATGAGGCCACAGGAATTTCCTATAGAAAATTTTGCAACCTCAGTTTCCAACTGAGGGCCACAGGAATTTTCTATAGACAATTTTGTGACCTCAGTTTCCAACTGAGGGCTACAGGAATTTTCTATAGAAAAAATTGAGACCTCAGTTACCAACTGAGGGCCACAGGAATTTACTATAGACAATTTTGTGACCTCAGTTTCCAACTGAGGGCCATAGAAATTTTCTATAGAAAAAATTGAGATCTCAATTACCACTGAGGGCCACAGGAATTTTCTATAGAAAATTTTGCGACCTCAGTTCCCAACTGAGGGCCACATGAATTTTTTTATAGACAATTTTACGACCTCAGTTCCCAACGGAGGGGCACAGGAATTTTCTATAGAAAATTTTGCGACCTCAGTTCCCAACTGAGGCCCACAGGAATTTTCTATAAAAAAATTTGCGACCTCAGTTGCCAACTGAGGGCCACAGAAATTTTTGGTGCCTTAGTTCCCAATTGAGGGCCACAGGAATTTTCTATAGAAAATTTTGCGACCTCAGTTCCCAATTGAGGGCCGCAGGAATTTTCTATGGAAAATTTTGCGACCTCAGTTTCCAACTGAGGGCCACAGGAATTTTCTATAGAAAATTTCGAGACTTTAGTTCGCAACTGAGGGCCACAGGAATTTTCTATACAAAATTTAGCTACTTCAGTTCGCAAACTGAGTGCCACTGGTAAATTTTGCGACCTCAGTTGCCAACTGGGGGGCCCAGGAATTTTTATAAAAATTTTTGCGACCTCCTTGGCCACATTAATTTTCTATAGAAACTTTTGCGACCTCAGTTACCAACTGTGGGCCACATGAAATTTTCTATCGAAAATTTTTTTTTTTTTTTTTTTTTTGAATTTTTTTAGAACATTTTGAGACCTCAGAGGGCCACAGGAATTTTCTATGGAACATTTTTCGACCTCAGTTACCAACTGAGGGCCAGAGAAATTTTCTATAGAAAATTATGCGATCTCAGTTCCCTAATGAGGGCCCTGGAATTTTTAACGAATAATTTTTCAAGGACCTATATAAGCGTGGATTAAAAAACAAATTCCAGGACATTCATAAGCGTGAGTTTTTAAAGAATTATTTTTCAAGGACCTTTATAAGAGTGGATTTTTAAAGAATAATTTTCTCAAGGACTTTTATTAGCGTAGATTTTTAAAGAATCATTTTTCAAGGACCTTTATAAGCGTGGATTATTAAAAAATTATTTTTCAAGGACCTTTATAAGCGTGGATTTTTAAAGAATAATTGTTCAAGGTACTTTGTAAGCGTGGATTATTAAAGAATAATTTTTCAAGGTCCTTTGTAAGCTTGGATTATTAAAGAGTACTTTTTCAAGGTCCTTTTGTAAGCGTGGATTATTAAAGAATAATTGTTCAAGGTCCTTTGTAAGCGTGGATTATTAAAGAATAATTTTTCAAGGTCCTTTGTAAGCGTGGATTATTAAAGAATTATTTTTCAATGAATTTTCTATAGAAAAAATTTTCGAACTCAGTTCCCAACTTAGGGCCCTGGAATTTTCTATAGAAAATTTTGTGACTTCAGTTCCCAACTTAGGGCCCTGGAATTTTCTATAGAACATTTTGCGACGCCATGAATTTTCAGTAGAACAGTTCCCAACTAGGGCGTTGGAATTTACAATAAAAAAATTTGGGAACTTCAGGTCTCAACTGCGGGTCCAGAGATTTTCTATAGAAAATTGTGTGAATTTTTGGTAGAACAGTTCCCAACTGAGGGCTCTGGAATTTTCTATAAACATTTTTGCGAAAATTTAACAACCTCAGTTCCCAACTGAGGGTTCTGAGGGTTCCCAATAGAGACCATGAATTTTTAAAGACAATTTGTCGATATATTATGAACATTTTGCATTGTTTTTTTTTTAAATTTCCCAAAATTATCACACAACCCCTCGTCGCTCTCATTTCTGCCAATTGCAAATATTATAAATGAGTGTGCCATGGTGCCGTTCTTTTTGCAATTATTTTATCAATTTATGGATTTTCTATTTCTCACAACCACGGCACACCCAAAGCGCTACAGCATAGGTGTGCTGTGTCCATGCGGCTTTATAGACACTATAAAATATTTTGCAATCTTTTGGGTAGTGAACCTGCCCTCCCAAGCCACCCTCAGCGACCACAAACAAAATTCTAAAATGCACAAATAAACTGGGGAAAACAAAATATTGGTGGAAAGTTGTGAGGGAACGCGAATTCGTATTTTTTGGGGGGGCATGCAACACAAAACGTGATTTCATTCGTTCGCATTGCATTGGCTTATACACTTCCCTGTGGAATGCTGACACACATCAGTGTAGAGAGGATGTTTTCAATTACCCTACCTCCACTCATGCTCCTGTGCTATGGTTAAATGAAAGTATCCATTCTGGAACAAGAAAAACACGCATATCCTGATCCGCATACCACCATTCTCTATTTGAAGATGGAAAGTTATGTGCTCCGACGTTTACGCTATTGAATGGCAACATTTCATTTCAATTCATATAAAATTTTTGCAAAAATTTTCATTTTCAAATGAAGATATACTAAATGAAAATATTTACACCCGACAATAACTCCATTTGGAGAGTTAGTATTCCCATTTGGAGCCGGTGATAATAGGGTGGAATGAAAGGACAAATTTTACATTCCAAGCATAGCAAAAATATTATGCGGAGAGACTCACACCCTCATTATCCATATGAGAAAAAATAATTCTAATTCAAAGCTCCCTTATTGACGAACAGGCCACTTGCACTTCTTTTCTCACAACACCCTATTATACACATATTCACTTTTCATATTGCCATTGCCATGAATTGTGATTTCATTTTTATATTTCTGTGGCGCGTTGCGTATTAGAACACACACAAACACACCCTGCCGGGGTTGAGTTGTCATAATTGTGCAAAATTTATAGACACAGCATCCTTTCGGGTTATAAATATGGCAATGGTGTTGCTTCTGAATAACTACGCATGGTTTCTAAGCATGAAGCTGCCACGTCCCTCCCTTTCGCCAAAAGTGTGACTAAAGAATTTCATAACTTTATGAACAGAAAATATTTTCGTTAAATTGATATTTGCTAATAGACAGACGGCAGATTCCGAACTATAGAAATATTGGAGAGGGGTGAAAGACAGAATAAATGAAAATTTAATTACGGAATCATATGCATTTATGGCATACTTCACCTAAGGACATCCGTTTTCCGAGGCCACACAATTTACTAGACAAAAATATTGTTCCTCAGTTCTCAGCTAAGCCTGGAATTTTCTATAGAAAATTTTGCGACCTTTGTTACCAACTGGGGGCCACAGGATTTTTCTATCGAAAATTTTGCGACCTCATAGAATATTTTACGATCTCAGTTCCCTAATGAGGTCTCTGGAATTTTTAAAGAATAATTTTTCAATTTCCTTTATATGCGTGGAATTAAAAATAAAAATAATTTTTCCAGGACTTTCTTTCAAGTCGAGGCCACAAATAAATAAAATTTATGACTGAGATCGAACATTTTCTACAGACAATTTTTGATGACCTTTAATCGGGATCTGATGTCGAAAAATGTTGTATTGTTTACCCTTTGTCGGGAACTCAGGTCGAAAACTTGTCTATAGAAAATTGTGGGATCTCAGCTGCGTATTGGGGTCGACAAATTGGCTATAAAAATATTGGTGACCTCAGCCCTTTATAGACAAATTTTCGACCTCAGTTCCGACTAAGGGTCAACAAGAATGTTCTATACAACATTTTTCGACCTCAGATGCCGATTGAAGGTCACCAAGAATTTTCTATAGAACATGTTCCGACCTCAGTTCAAACATTTTTCTATAGACAAATTTTCGACCCCAGTGCCCGTGTAAGGGTCAACAAACGTGTTCTTCAAAAAATGTTTCGACCTCAGATCCCGAATGAAGGTCACCAAGAGAAACAAATGTCGACCTCAGTTTCGAGCTAAGATCCCCGCTGAGGACAATGATTTTCTGTAGAAATTTTTCGACCTCATTTGTCGATTTCAGTTTCCAACTAAGGCCGCCTAGAGTTTCCTATAGCAAATTTTTGACATCCGTTCCCGACTTAGGCCATACCTCAGCTCATAGACTTCTTTACCACAGTTCCAGACAGAGGCCAAAACTTTCTATAGACAAATTTTCGAAATCAGTTCTCGATCGATAATCTTTTATAGCATTTTTTCGACCCCAGTGCCCGGCTGAGGTCACCAAAAATCTTCTATAGAAAAATTTTCGAGCTAAGATCCCCGCTGAGGACAGCGAATTTTCTGTAGAAAATTTTACGACCTCATTTGTCGATCTCAGTTTCCGACTGAGGCCACACAGAATTTTCTATAGGAAATATTTGACCTCCGTTCACGATTTAGGCCACACCTTAGACTAAGCCCATTTTTTTTTGCAGAGTTCCAGCCTGATGAAGCCAACAACGGAATTCTAATATTAATATTTTTCTATAGACAATTTTTCGACCTCAGATCTCGATTAAAGGTCACCAAGAATCTTCTACAAACATTATTCCAGGTGAAATCATCAAGAATCTTCTAAAAACATTTTTTTCTACCTCAGTGCCCAACTGAGAATCTCCTATAGATATTTTTTCGAACTCAGTTCCCATAATAGATCGCCTAGAATA